GGGGGGGGGGGTGGAGGGGGGGGGAGGCGCGGCAGAGCGGCTCAGGCGCATGGCCTGCACAGATTGTCGCGCAAGCCAAGAGCAGTCGTTATGCTGCCATGCAGATAGACCATGGCGCTTCAGTCGAAGTGCGCGTTGCTTTTCAAGCCCAACCCCCTCCCCCCCACACACATGCACACCTGTCTGAAGAGCTTCTGGAATGTGGCGCGGGGCAGGCTGTTCCATGCGATCGTGTCCGTGATGGCCGTGAAGATCCAGTTGAGCTCGCCCAGGGGGGTCTTGCGGTCGGTCTGGCGCCCGGGAATCCTAGGGGCCACGCGGGACAGGGGGGCAGGAGGGGGGAGCGGCGCGCGCAAGGGCGGAGGGGGCTTGAGGGGTTGTGACTCAAGCGAGCAGCTGTGTGCCTGCTTACCAGCTCAGTCATCCCATCCACTGCATACTCAAAGGGTGCCTTTCAAGCCGCAGAATCCATCCCTCACCCAAACCATCGCCCTTCCCCTCAACCCAGGCCACCTGTCTATGAGCTCCTTCGTGAGGCCGTCGTGGCGCAGCAGAGATCGCGAGCAGAACCACCGCAGCGCCACCTTGATGGGCGTCGTCAGGCACGCCGTGAACACGTCAGCAGGCAGGTCCGGATTCTGGGTGGGGGGTCAGGGAGGGTGGCGGGCGCAACCAGGAGTGGGTAGGGCAGCGGCGGACTCGTGCGCAAGCTGCCTTTGCACAGCACTGGCCGCCGCAGGAAGGTGGGTGCAGCCCCAGGTATGTTCCCTCGCTAGATGTGATCAGAAACAGCTCACCTGTGGCAGCAGCTCGTTGGCACCGCAAGCCGCCAGAACAATTATCTCACGCATCGGGTCGATGCCACCGCCCCCAGGGCTGCCGCTGCCGCTGCCGGTGTACATCCCGCCTCCCGTGGCGCCACCGGCGGTGCTGGTGCCGCTGGTGCGCGCGTCCATCAGCGCCTTGAGGCTGCAGCCGTCGATGTGTGTGGGCAGCACACGGATGTGTGAGGCGCATAAGAGCTGCGCAGCCTGAGCCCATTGCCCCTTGACTCCCCGCCGTCCCATCCATACGTGCCCCCCCCCC